CAAATGCTTGGGAGGCACTCGCGGGCAGCCCAGCAGGGGGTGCTTCGGAGGTGCACGTGGGCTGCCCAGGAACGGCGGTTGGGAGCACATGGGCCACGCCAGGCAATCAATAACCAATAACCACCGGCGAGGACGAGCGGCCACGCAGTCGAAACGCAGGCGAGCCGCGCCAGGCGAAAGCACACCAGACGGGAGGAAGAAAAGCAGGCCGCGGGGGGGGGGAATACTACCAGGGGACAGTGATTGGAACACCCTCAAAGCCCGCATGCCGTTTCGCAAACTCCCACCTGACCCCCCAACGCATCACTAACGCCCGACATGCAGCATGCTCAGCGATCTTCTTTGGGTGGGCAGCTGCTTGGAACCAGAACAGACCCCATGTAGGGGGGCGCGGGGGGGGGGCCAGGCGCGAAGAGCCGACGCCACGGGCAGGGCGCAGGCGGCCGCCTCGGGCGCCGACAGAGCGGAAGCAGCAGGACGGGGAAGGGCCAAGCCCAGCTGCCGAAGGCGAAGATGACCACAAACGGGCAAGCATCCGTTTCGACGGGGCCTCTCAGGTCATGGAAGGTGCAGTTACCAATGCCGCTGAGTTTCAATTTCAAGAGGTCCGCTCACATCCGATTCCATGGGATTCATGCATCCGTACCGGGTCTCTGGAGGGCCCACCGTTGTGGAATGCGCAGTGTATTTGTATGTTTGGGCCTGTACTTCAGAATTGGGAGCGTCTGGGAAAAGGCCTTGTCTTGTCGGCGGAGGCGGGAGGCGTCTGTGTTTTTCACTTTATATGGGCTGACAACGTCATTCTGGTGGCGGGCTCCCTCCCCATGTTGACCTCGATGATCGTCGAACTAAGCCAGCCCCTGTACCTTCGCGGTTTCCATTGGAAAGCATCCAGCCTCGAGTTCATGATTGTTGCCAGTGATGATACTGACCCCCTGGTTGGCCATCTTTTCTCTTGATCCTCGGGAAATTGCCCAAGCTCAGCCCTGGTGTACAAGCGCGTCTCGGTGCTGAAGATCCTGGGCGCCGTTATTGACAGAAATTTTACGGATCATGAGCATATTTGTCATCGAATGCGATGTGCTGTTGGCTTTCTGGAAGAACAAATCTTATTATCAGTCGCGTCTTATCTCTATTCATTCGAAGATTCGCCGCTTTGATTCGAGAGTTCGCAGCAAGTTCTTGCATTTGGAAGGGGCTTTTATTGATGCCAATGCGTTGCGGTATATCCACAAGGAGGCAGGGAAGATGCTGTCTCGCATGGTCTGGCGTAACAAGCGAGCAGATGAGAGCTGGAGTATGTTCCTATCACGTCTATCCTATCGTGGTCGCCAGGCTTTGTTTCGTGAACGTAAGGCTAGCCTTGTGCAGTTGTTTGTGTGTAAGCAGTGGATGTGGGCGAAGGATGTTGTGTCAACATGTTTTTCTTCATCTCCTGTTTCATCCCCGTCATCTGCTGCTGCTGCGTTATCTTCTATGCTATCTCAATGTGTCCTGGGAGCTTTGCCTATACCGCTGGAAGAAGAGGAGGACCAGAGCATCTCGGTTGTGGGTGGGTCGCCGTCGTTTGTTGATGTGACCGTTGATCACAAGAGAAATCGCAGGCAGGAGATTCGTGAGATGAAGAGGCAGGCTAAACGTGCCCGTGGGAATTTGTCTCAAAATAGTGCTTGTGTGCGTGATGCCTTTGAGCCGTCCCGTACTGTGCCACCGCCTGAGAAGAGACGGAGACTGCGTTGGTCCCCGAGCCAGTGGCCTCATGGGTGTCTAGCATTGCTCAGTCTCGCCTGCTGATGTTGCACGCTTCGGGTTCGTGGACACGGACTCGTGACACCCTTATCCATCTTGCTGGGACCAAGGAGGCTCGGGCGTATACCCGCTTGAGGGGCCAGAGTACAAATCTGAAGGGGCTCACGCCGTGGCATCTTATCTTCGAGATGGTGCGGAGCGAGCTCTGGCAGTCTAACACGGCGTCAGCCACAGACGACAGAGGAAGAGGGAGGAAGAATATTGCGAGCGAAAGGCAATCCTCACATCGAGCACCCAGCCACACACCATGTTGGGAACAACCTCCGTCGAAAGAACCACGGATACAGTCGATCATAACTGTATTGAACTTGATAAGCTTCTGAAAGTCGTCGTCATGCCAGAGACCACAGTTACCAGTACGAGAATTCCAAGTCATTTCATCAGCCTCAGTATTTCCTTCGCGACCAGACTCAGGAGGACGGATAAGACATGAGACGGAGGTCACATAACATGTTCTGCATGTCCGTTCCCCGTGTAACCCAGGTACACTCTTCCAGGAAGATTCATCCAAGTATACTTTAGCAAGTCTCTGAGCTAACTTATGATCTGATTTAGCCTTCTGCTCCTCCGTCATATTCACCTCCTCCTCCTCCTTCTCCTTAGAATTCCATGGGTGGGGTCTTTGAGTACACACAATTGTACTTGTTCCTCCCTCTATTCTCTTGGCTTTGTCGTCACATTTCTGACTGAATTGGACTTTGATAGTGACTGATGGCTCCGTGAGCCTCACATCCAGGCGTATGCGTCGTGCTTGGGTCTGCCATCTGAGATGGGTCCGATCAGCATCACCATTATCTAACATTCTTTGATTTCAACATGTTGTTTCTTTGATGGAAATATCGTAACACGGTCGGTTGTCGCATCATCGATGTGTCTCTGAGGTTTCGACATACTTCTGTTTGCATTGACTGCCATGTTGTGCGTGTGTGTCGGGCATACACGCATGTTGGTATAAGAGATTTCAAAATTCGTTTTCAGAATCCAGAATTTTGTTGCCTGCTATTAATCATGTTTGATAGTGGAGTGCTCAGGGCTATAGGTGCAAAATTTCGATCAGAACATGTCCTATAAAATTCGAAAATACATTTCACGAGCTTTTCAGCTGAAATTTGGAAGCGCTAATTTCCGTTATCTGGGTGCTGATTTGCGTATTCAGAGCTCTACGAAGGTCCCGCGGTAACCTGGTTGACGGTTTACTGCCGGCCAGCAATTCTGGCGCGCCGGGGGCTAGTTCACAAAAAATCTCGACAGGAGGTTTGCTTTTTTTTGACCTAATTGAAATGATTGTCTGGAAAAGTTGAATGGTCGTTCGAGTTCTAGTACTTTTTCTCCCGCTCGCGATTTTGATTTCAGGTCGATCGGGTACATCCTGGCGCCGGCGGTGAACCGTCAACCTGGTCTTGTGCGTCTTTTGCGAAGGCCGGTTCGAGCTCCCATGGGAGCAGGCCTAAACACAAAGAACCTAAACAGCGAAGCTGTACAGGAAGACAGCGAAGTTGCAAAGGTTAAAGCAGAGGTGCATCAAACAGCGAGGCTGTACAGATATGCACAAGACTGCCAATACACTAGAATATAACACCAAAACAGTGAGACGCAGCAACCACTGGTTGATACAGCGACCACACGAGAAGCAGTGAGAGACCATACAGCAACCACTGGTTTATACAGCGATTACCGTCTCAACACCACTGAGAATGCACAAGGGATTAAAGGTCAGAATGCAGGTAAGAAATGCAAACTGAATTATGAACACACACACACACACAAACAGACAAAGTGAATTATGAACAGGCAACATACGGAGTGGATAAGCATATTACAAAATGGATATGCAATGAACTGATAAGTTGGAAGCTCACTGAACCCATGACATTAAACGTGCAATGAACGCATGAAAAGGAAATTCAACTCAGGAAACTTGCCTTCCAACATCTGTTGAAGCACGCCCAGAAACTTGCATTCAAACATCTGCGAAAGATACTCGCATTCCAACATCTGCTGAAGAAACGCCTGTCCCAACTGAACCGAGAACTCGGCGCGTATCTTGCAACGTCCATTGGCTGAAATCCTCCTTCCAGAAACTTGCATGAACATGTTCGCCCAGAGTTCTAGGCCCACCTTGCACCACAATGAGGTCTTGCAGGATGCCCTCAACAACGGTATCGCGCGTTGCCCTTTGCCTGGTGAAACCGTGAATTTCTAATATTTTCAATCTGGTACACATATAGAACACCACCAAAAAGAATGTCGTGATTGAGGCTATACCCGTAACCGAGCTTCCGGCACTGAGTCTTAGAGGCAACTGGAGTGCCGAACTTTCTGCCCAGACATCTGGCGAGACGAAACACGTTTTGCGACGTGAAGCTCATGCGAAGCATGTCATCTATCAAGTAACTTCGCCCGTGCACTCCAACCTCAACTACGAACTGATCAAACTGCTCCATTTTATCTGGCACCCTAACCTCAGATCGCTTCACTCGCGCGCAAGTTGTTGCACTACCAGCTGAAGAGACTCGCATTCCAACCTCCGCATCTTGTTCTGCTGAAGAAACTTGCAATCCAACATATGCTGAAGAAACTTGCATTCCAACGTCTGTTGAAGCACTCCCAGAAACGTGCATTCCAACATCTGCTGACGAAACAGGCATGCCAACATCTTGTTCTGCTGAAGAAACTTGCAATCCAACATCTGCTGAAGAAACTTGCATTCCAAAGCCTGTTGAAGCACTCCGAGAAACGTGCATTTCAACCTCTGCTGAAGAAACATGCATGCCAACATCTTGTTCTGCTGAAGAAACTTGCTATCTCACATTTGCTGAAGAAACTTGCATTCCAACGCCTGTTGAAGCACTCCCAGAAACGTGCCTTCCAACATCTGCTGAAGAAACATGCATGCCAACACCTGCTGAAGAAACTTGCGTTCCCACGTCTGCTGAAGAAACTTGCATCGCAACATCTGCTGAAGCACTCCCAGAAACTTGCATTCCAACATCTGTTGAAGAAACCTGCGTGCCAACATCTGCAGTAGGAACGTGCATTCCAACAGCTGCCGAAGAAACTGGCGCCCCAACATTTTGCCGAGGGGGAGACTTTGCCAAGCTTGCAAAGGGATCTTCCGTCCTGGAACCACTCATGTCATGTTCCTCCTTTCCACGAATGGCATCAAACAGATAAATCGTACTCCCTGCAGATTAGCCCGAATGCGCGAGACCACATGAAGCAAATGCCGCCTCCTCCTCCTCCTCCTCCATATCGTCAAAAACAGCAGCTGAGCTACCCTCGGAAGTAGAATCGAGATATCGAAAATATCGGGGAGCATATATCTTCTGCACACAAACGCCCTGCCGCAACTCTGATCCATATTTAATACACCTCGGAGCCACAACTCTGAATTCCAATGCGCCAAACAATGAGATCACGCGCGGCGTCTCTCTGGCTCGCTCCAATTCGGCGACTCTCTTTTGGAGCGTCCTCACTGTTGAGCAAAGCCAATTGACAACTTCTGAAGAAACGACCATATGAGAACAAAGAGATACACGAATTCAAACCTGTAGCAATTCAGACTGAAAAAGCAATGTGCACTCAGGCAGTGAATGAACGTGTACGGTAATCAGGCAAAACCGACACTGAGGCACCGTGTACAGTAAGAGGAACAAAAGGACACCTCTCTGCACTATGCAGCTCGAAACGAGGGGGACCCCAGCGGTGAGGCCAAGCTAAGCAGGAGGTAAGCTCTGCTCAACCTGGTCACCGCCGGGAACCTCGTAGAGCTCTTTTCACGCGTGAGAGAGCTCAGAGTCGGAAGAGAGAGCTTCTGGAGGCATTTCTCGAAAAATTGAACATTCATTTTTTTCATGTCGACATGAAGTTAGTTCCGCCAAGTGTTTTGATAGTAAATGTGCGCCTACAGAGCTCATAGTAAGACGCAGAGGCCCTCATAGTCGTTTACAGGTAGGAAAAATCTCGTTTCTCAAAATGAACTGTCAACTGGGAACCGGCGGTAAACCGTCAACCAGGTTACCGCCGGACCCTCGTAGAGCTCTGGATAGACCAAGTCGGTTCCAAGATAACAGCAGAAAAACGCTTCTGAATACCAGCTTGAAAAATAAAGACATCTTGTTTTCGGTCGTAGACAATCTTGGTTCCCCCTAGTCTTTTGATCGAAATAATGCAGCTAGGGCCCTGAGGATTGCACCATCGAAACCGCCATGATTCACTGCATAGAATAAAAATTCGAATTTGCAAAACAAATTTCAAAATCTCTCGCCATCTTCGAAAAACCGACACTAGGTCACCACATTGTCCGCCCGGGCCGGGTTGACCAACTAGCTGCACCCCGCGCCCGAATTCCTCTATCTCATCGATGCCGAAGAGCTCTACTGGGCGCCGGCGGTAAACCGTCAACCTTTCTTACCGCCGGGGGACTCGTAGAGCTTCCTGACAATATATGATGTCGAAAAAAATGGCACAGAACGAATAGTTTTTCAGCCCAAGCGATTTCACACCTCTCGATGCAACAGCCCAACGCCCCCGATGCTTCTGGATTGTCTTCTGTACGAGCTCTGTAGCTCTCCTACAGCCCGAGTTACGTGCGTAAATCGATAGCACCTCTCAAGATGACTCGAACAAAACAAACAGTTTGACAAACCCAGCTCGAGTATCAGACCGAGTTCAGACCTCTCAATGCGACAGGCGGACGCGTCTGATGTCTCCGAGTCGATTCCTGTGATTACCAGCCCTGCAGCCCACCTGCAGCCCGAGTTAAGTGCAGAAAACCAAGAGCACCTCTCAGGATGACTCGAACAATACGAATAGTTTTGCGGACCTAGTTCGGGCAGCAGACCGAGTTCCGAGCTCTGGGTTCGACAGGCGAACGCGCCTGATGTCTTCAAATCGATTTCTGTGATCATCTGCACTGTGGCCACCCTACCGCCCGAGTTGAGTGCAGAAAACCGACAGCACCTCTCAAGATGACTCGAACAATACGAATAGTTTCGCGATTCTAGATCGGGCAGCAGACCGAGTTCCGAGCTCTGGATTCAACAGACAAACGCGACTGATGATTCTCAATCCGTTTCTGTAAGTATCAGCTCTGAAGCTGTTCTACAGCTCGAGTTTAGTTCAGAAAAACGAGAGCGCCTGTCAAGATGACTCGAATAATACGAATAGGTTTGCGGACCTAGCTCGGCTAGCAGACCGAGTTCAGACCTCTAGATGCAACAGGCAAACGCGCCTGATCATTCTGAATCGATAAGGTGTGCTTACCAGCCCTGTAGCTGCCCTACAGCTCGAGTTAAGTCAAATGTACCAAGAGAGCGTGTCAAGATGACTCGAAACGGCCGATCCCGCCCGTGTGCTTTTTGGCAGTAAAAGGTACCCGACCGAGCTGAGATCAAGATGGCGAGCGGGAATAAGATCAAATATCATGGGAAAAAATACTAGAGCTCAAACGAATTGAGGAATTTCGAGAACAAAATTTTCAACCGACCAAAAGTCAGCAAAAGGTCCGTCGAGATTTTTCTTGCCAACTAGCTTTCCAGGGCCCCGGAATTACTCTTAAACTCCCAGCAAGAACTGGGCACCGGCGGTAAACCGTCAACCTTTCTTTTTGCGTCGGGGGACTCGTAGAGCTTCCTGACAATATATAATGTCGAAAGAAATTGCAGAGAACGAGTAGTTTTTCAGCCCAAGCGATTTCAGACCTCTCGATGCAACACCGATGATTCTGAATCGTCTTCTTTATGGGCTCTGTAGCTCTCCTACAGCCCGAGTTACGTGCGTAAATCGACAGCAACCCTGAAGATGACTCGAAGAATACGAATAGTTTGGCAAACCTAGATCGAGTATCAGACCAAGTTCAGGCCTCTGAATGCAACAGGCGGACGCGTCTGATGTCTCCGGATCGATTCCTGTGATTACCAGCCCTGCAGCCCCCATACAGCCCGAGTTAAGTGCAGAAAACCGACAGCATCTCAGGATGACTCGAACAATGCAAATAGTTTCGCGGACCTAGTTCGGGCAACAGACAGAGTTCAGAGCTCTGTATTCGACAGGCGGACGCGCCTGATGTCTTTAAATCGATTCCTGTGACTACCAGCACTGTAGTCCCCACAACCCGAGTTAAGTACAGAAAACCGACAGCACCTCTCAAGATGACTCGAATAATACGAAGAGTTTCGCGATTCTGGAGCGGGCAGCAGACCGAGTTCGGAGCTCTGGATTCAACAGACAAACGCGACTGATGATTCAGAATCGGTTTCTGTAAGTATCAGCTCTGTAGCTGTCATATAGCTCAAACCGAGTGCCTGTCAAGATGACTCGAATAATACGAATAGGTTTGCGGACCTAGCTCGGCTAGCAGACCGAGTTCAGACCTCTGGATGCAACAGACGAACGCGCCTGATCATTCTGAATCGATGAGGTGTGCTTACCAGCTCTGTAGCTGTCCTGTATCTCGAGTTAAGTCCAATATAGCGACAGCGCGTATCAAGATGACTCGAAACGGCCGATCCCGCCTGGACGCTTTTTGGCAGTAAAAGGTACCCGATCGAGCTGAGATGAAGATGGCGAGCGGGAATAAGATCGAATATCACGGGAAAAAATACTAGAGCTCAAAAAAAACGCATCTAGAGAGCTCGTATTACGACAGAGAGGCCCTCATATTCGTCTACAGGTGCGAAAAAACTGCTTTCTCAAAATCAATGGTCAAATATCTTTCAAATATTTGGAAAAGCACCCAAAAGTTACCACTTTGTCCGTTCTGGTCGGGTCGACCAACTGGGCGCCGGCGGTAAACCGTCAACCTTAGTTACCGCCGGGAGACTCGTAGAGCTTCCTAGCTCGACTTAAATTGAGAAAACCGAAAGCACCTTCCGACTGATAGTCAATATTTTCTTACCTCTGAATGCGACAGGCGGACGCGTCTGATCTCTGCGAATCGACTCCTGTCATTACCAGCCCTGCACTATAGCCCGAGTTAAGAGCAGAAAACCGACAGCATCTCTCAGGATGACTCGAACAATACAGCAGTTTTGCAGACCTAATTCGGACAGCAGACCGAGTTCCGCGCTCTGGATTCGACAGGCGGACGCGCCTGATGTCTTCAAATCGATTCATGTGACCGCCAGCACTGAAGCCCCCCTAAGCGCGAGTTGAGTGAAGAAAACTGAGAGAACTTCTCACGATGACTCGACCAGTACGAATAGTTTCGCGATTCTAGATCGGGCAGCAGAATGTTCAGAGCTCTGGATTCGACAGACAAACGCAGCTGCTCATTCTCAATCGGTTTCACTAACCATCAACTCTGTAGCTGTTCTACAACTCGAGTGAAGTGCAGAAAATCAAGAGTTCCTATCAAGATGACTCGAATCATACGAATAGGTCTGCGGACCTAGCTCAGCTAACAGACCGAGTTCAGACCTCTGGATTGAACAGGCGAACGCGCCTAATCATTCCACATCGATTAGCTGCGCTTCCCAGCTCTGTAGCTGCCCCAAAAATCGAGTTATGTTCAGAAAACCGTCAGCGCGTATCTAGATGACTCAAAACGGCCGATCCCGCCACAGTGCTTTTCGATATTAATTTTCACCCGATCGAGCTGAGATCAAGATGGCGAGCGTGAATAAGATCGAATATCACGGGAAAAAATACTAGAGCTCCAACAAATTGTTGAATTTCGAGAACAAAATTTTCAACTGACCAAAAGTCACCAAAAGTTCCGTCGAGATTTTCCTTGCCAACTAACTCTCCAGCGCGCCGAAATTACTCTTAGCTTCCAGCAATAACTTGCTAAGGGAAGCTCTACGAGTTACTAGCTCCACCCCGCGCCGGAACTGGGCGCCGGCGGTAAACCGTCAACCTTGGTTACCGCCGGGAGACTCGTAGAGCTTCCTAACTCGACTTAAGTTGAGAAAATAAACAGCACTTACCAACAATCTGACTTATAGTGAATAGTTTTTGACCTCTGAATGTGACAGACGGGCGCGTCTGATGTCTGCGAATCGACTCCTATCATTACCAGCCCTGCAGCCCTCCTACAGCCCGAGTTAAGTGCAGAAAACCGACAGCACCTCTCAGGAAGACTCGAACAATAGGAATAGTTTCGCGGACCTAGTTCGGGCAACAGACAGAGTTCAGAGCTCTGTATTCGACAGGCGGACGCGCCTGATGTCTTTAAATCGATTCCAGTGATTACCAGCCATGCAGCCCCCCCTACAGCCCGAGTTAAGTCCAGATAACCGACAGCATCTCGGAAGCGACTCGAACAATACGAATAGTTTCGCGATTCTAGATCGGGCAGCAGACCGAGTTCAGAGCTCTGGATTCGACAGACAAACGCAACTGATGATTCTGAATTCGTGCCTGTAAATATCAGCTCTGTAGCTGTCCTACAGCTCGAGTTAAGTGCAGGAAACCGAGAGTTTCTCTTAGAATGACTCGAATAATACGAAGAGGTTTGCGGACCTAGCTCGGCTAGCAGACCGAGTTCAGATCTCTGGGTTCAACAGGCGAACGCGCC